TACACACCAACCCACCCATCCACACACCCACACACCGTCCCCGCACCCACCCACCAACCCCGCTCCCACACACCCACCCACACACCCCGCACCCACACACCCACCTACCTACACACCAACCCACCATCCACACACCCACCCATCCACACACCCACACACCAACCCACACACCCACCCACACACATACCCACCCACCCACCCACACACCAACCCACCCACCCACACACCAACCCCGCACCCACCCTACACACCAACCCACCCATCCACCCACCCCATCCACCCACCACACCCACACCCATCCACACACCCCACACCACCAACCCACACACCCACCCACCCACACCTACCACCCACCCACACACCAACCCCGCACCCACCCACACACCAACCCACCCATCCACCCACCCACACACCCATCCACCCATCCGCCCACCCACACACACACCCGCCCACCCACCATCCACACACCCACCCACACACCCATCCGCCCACCCACACACCACACCCGCCCACACACCCACACATCCACACACCCACCGACTCCTACCCACCCACCCACACACCAACCCACCCACCAACCCCGCACCCACCCACACACCCACACATCCACACACCCACCGACTCCTACCCACCCACCCACACACCAACCCACACACCCACCCCGCACCCACCCACCACACACCCACCCACACACCAATATCACCCACAGACCCATCCACCCACCCACACACCCACCCGCCCACCAACCCACCCACACACCCACCCACACACCCACCCACACACCATATCACCCACCCACACACCAACTCACCCACCAACCCACCCACACACCCACCCACACACCCATCCGCCCACCCGCCCACACACCCACCTACCACCCCATCCGCCCACCCACACACCCACCAACCCCGAACCCTTCCCCGGCTGCTCCGATTAGAACGGTTGGCTACGTACAGTGCGAAATAACTTCAACATACAAGCATCGATTTTTAGTTAAAACTTCCGTGACTGCAGGAATGCATATTCTTTGGATCTTTCGGTAAAGTCACGCAGATATAAAAAATAAAGTGAATAAATGATGACGACCGCTTGTGTTGCGATCGAAACGTCGTGCTATTTTTATTCACTTTATTTATATTAATATTTTTTATCGAAGTGACTTTACCGAAAGATCCAAACAATATGCATACAAACCCCATACCCACCAAACCAATCCCATACCCACCCACCAAACCTACCCCATACCCACCCACCAAACCAACCCCATACCCACCCACCAAACCAACCCCATACCCACCACCAAACCAACCCCATACCCACCCACCAAACCAACCCCATACCCACCCACCAAACCAACCCCATACCCACCCACCAAACCTACCCCATACCCACCCACCAAACCAACCCATACCCACCCACCAAACCAACCCCATACCCACCCACCAAACCAACCCCATACCCACCCACCAAACCAACCCCATACCCACCCACCAAACCAACCCCATACCCACCCACCAAACCAACCCCATACCCACCCACCAAACCTACCCCATACCCACCCACCAAACCAACCCCATACCCACCCACCAAACCACCCCATACCCCCACCCACCAAACCAACCCATACCCACCCACCCACCAAACCAACCCCATACCCACCCACCAAACCAACCCCATACCCACCCACCAAACCAACCCCATACCCACCCACCAAACCAACCCCATACCCACCCACCAAACCTACCTACCCATACCCACCCACAAACCAACCCATACCCACCCACCAAACCAACCCCATACCCACCCACCAAACCTACCCCATACCCACCCACCAAACCTACCCCATACCCACCCACCAAACCAACCCCATACCACCCACCAACCACCATACCCACCCACCAAACCAACCCCATACCCACCCACCAAACCAACCCATACCCACCCACTCAAACCAACCCCATACCCACCCACCAAACCAACCCCATACCCACCCACCAAACCAACCCCATACCCACCCCACCAACCTACCCCATACCCACCCCACCAAACCAACCCCATACCCCACCCACCAAACCAACCCCATACCCACCCACCAAACCAACCCCATAACCCACCCACCAACCAACCCCATACCACCCACCAAACCAACCCCCATACCCACCCACCAAAACCAACCCCATACCCACCCACCAAACCAACCCATACCCACCCACCAAACCAACCCCATACCCACCCACCAAACCAACCCCATACCCACCCACCAAACCTAACCCCATACCCACCCACCAACCAACCCAAACCCCATACCCACCCACCAAACCAACCCCATACCCACCCACCCACCAAACCAACCCCATACCCACCCACCAAACAACCCCATACCCACCCACCAAACCAACCCCATACCCACCCACCAAACCACCCCATACCCACCCACCAAACCAACCCCATACCCACCCACCAAACCAACCCCATACCCACCCACCAAACCAACCCCATACCCCCCACCAAACCAACCCCATACCCACCCACCAAACCTACCCCATACCCACCCACCAAACCAACCCCATACCCACCCACCAAACCAACCCCATAACCCACCCACCAAACCACCCATACCCACCCACCAAACCAACCCCATACCCACCCACCAAACCAACCCCATACCCACCCACCAAACCAACCCCATACCCACCCACCAAACCTACCCCATACCCACCCACCAACCAACCCCCATACCCACCCACCAAACCAACCCCATACCACCCCCAACCACCCCATACCCACCCCCAAACCACCCCATACCCACCCACCAAACCAACCCCATACCCACCCACCAAACCAACCCCATACCCCACCCACCAAACCAACCCCATACCCCCCACCAAACCAACCCATACCCACCCACCAAACCAACCCATACCCACCCACCAAACCAACCCATACCCACCCACCTAAACCACCCCATACCAACCACCAACCCCCATACCCCACCCACCAAACCAATACCCCATACCCACCACCAAACCTACCCCATACCCACCACCAAACCAACCCCATACCCACCCACCAAACCCACCCCATACCCACCCACCACCAAACCAACCCAATACCCACCCACCACCAAACCAACCCCATACCCCCACCCACCAAACCAACCCCATACCCACCCACCAAACCAACCCCATACCACCCACCAAACCAACCCCATACCCACCCACCAAACCAACCCCATACCCACCCACCTAAACCAACCCCATACCCACCCACCAAACCAACCCATACCCACCCACCAAACCAACCCCATACCCACCCACCAAACCTACCCCCTACCCACCCACCAACAGCAACCCCATACCCACCCCCACCAAACCACCCCAATACCCACCCACCCACCAAACCAACCCCGGAGACCCACCCACCAAACCAACCCCATAACCCACCCACCAAACACCCCATCCACCCACCAACACCCCTACCCAACCCACCAAACACCCCATAACCACCCACTAAACACCCCTACCCACACCCCAACCACCCCATCCCACCCCCAACCAACCCCCTACCCACCCACCAACCGTACAACCACTACCCACCCCACGAACCAAACCCCATACCCACTCCCCAACCAACCCCCATACCCACCCACCAAACCTACCCCATAGCCCAACCACCAAACCACCCCATACACACCCAACCAAACCAACCCCATACCCAACCCACCACCCTGTTAAAAAATTGCTTCCCAACAGCTCATCAGATTCCTCCCCAATGTAAACAAAGATACTGACCCTACCCACCCCAGACCCCTACCATCAACCCCCTGTCCACCCACTCACCGACCCCTATCCACACAAACGCTTGCTCGCTCACTCACTCACGCTGATCATGATCATCATACAAAGGGACCCCCCCCCCCCCCCGAAGGTTGGTGGAGTTTGCCAGCACCGCGCCCGGCCGCCTTTGTATCCCCAGTGCCGATGTTTGCCCAGAACGCGCCAAGAACTATCGTCTTTGAGGGCCGAGTCGACCTAGGCGAGGTCCGAGCAACGGTTCAAGATTTTCGATGGACAGCGCGCTAACCGCTGCGCCACCGCTCCCTCGCTCGCCCACTCAGTGGTGGCGCTGGACAAAGGTAAACGAAACGCAAAAGGGGTTTAGGGGCCCCAAGTAGCTCACGAACTATAGGGGGGGGGGGGGTGGGTGCAGCACACAGATTATAATCAAACTCGAACGTTGATCCTCAGAACAATGAATACATCCGAAGTTATCATTGTTCGGTGCGTATGCAAGAACTTCTTTCGCACTGTACGTAGCCAGCCGTGCTCATCGCCGGGAGGTGCGATACATTAACGACCGCTCAGCTACGAAGGGTCATGGCCCGAAACGTCGCGTGCGTCGGCACCGCACAGACGCGGCACGGCAAACACGGGGACATTCCCTCCCTTCGTGATGTTGGCACTCAAAAAAATAAAAAAATAAAAAATAATTTTAAATAATCCCTGCCCCCCCCCCTCTTTACTCACCCGACAGCGGACTGCTGTCAACCACGTCACAACAACAACACCACGTCACAACAACAACAGCACCACGTGGCAACAACAGCACCACGTGGCAACAACAGCACCACGTCACAACAACAGCACCACGTGGCAACAACAGCACCACGTCACAACAACAGCACCACGTGGCTTGTCAGAGGCTAGTGGAGGTGAGAACAATCACCGATGACGCTACCCCAGCACGACCACGCTACGTTCTGGAGGAGCGAGCGAATGCTCCACTCAGCTACCCCAACACGACCACGCTACGTTCTGGAGGAGCGAGCGAATGCTCCACTCAGCTGCCGTGTGTGAATGGCTCACGACATTAAAAAAAAGCTGCGACAATCGATAACTTTTCTTTTCCAAAACTGCACGCGCAAGGCACCAAAAACAAAACGGAAGAACCCGACAGAGGTTTTCATCTCTCGGGGGAGAGTGGGGGGGGGGGGCGCTCACCGTGGGCTGGAGAGGCAACCTCCGTCTCGCCGACACCACCTCGGTCACCTTCGTGCACCACCACGATGATGGTCGGCCTCGGGTCGGCGTGACCTCGCGGGGTCACGTCGACCCCGACCTCTCCAGCCGGGCCACCCATCCGCGATCCGGGTGACGATGATGCAGCAGCAGCAGCAGCGGCGGCTAAAGCTGCCGACGACGACGAGGAGGTTTCCGCCGCACAAGCCGTCGTCGTCGGAGTTCCATCTCCGTCTTTACGCACGAAGATTCTGCTGAGCAGCCTCCTGATCCTCCCGTCGTGGTGCGTCGCGCCGAGTGAGCCGGGGCTCCCAAGACCGCGTCAATCTCGTGGGCCGTCCCAGGTCTTGTTCCTGCCCTGGCGGTCTCTGGAACGCCGCGAGAAACGCCGCTGAAGAAACGAGGGCCGATGCCGACGATGCCGACGATGACGGCGGCGGTGGCGATGATGATGATGATGACGGGGAGGAGGAGGTGGTCGTGCAGGTGATGTCGGAGGCGGCGATCGTTTCGCCTCCGCAGCCCGTCTGGCGAGGCCCCAGTCCGTTGTGCGAGGCGCTTCCGTTGGCCGCCCTCGGATCCGCCGTTGTCCACATTCGCCTGCCGAGGACAGGAGAGCCGCACGGGCTGCCTGCTCCGTGCGGCCTGGGCCGGCCGCCACCACCACCACCGCTGCCCTTGAGTCGGAAGCTGAAACTCTTCCTGATGAGTCCCACAACTTCCACTCCCCAGCCTGCTGCTGCTGCTGATGATGATTGCTACAGTTCTGGCGCTGTTCCCCGTTGTTGAGGGTTCCATTACTGCCATAGCGGTGGGAGTGATTGTGATGGTGGTGGTGACATCCATCATCACGATGATCACGAAGAGGCGTTGAGTGCGCATTCGGCCGTTGCTCCTCAACACGACCTGGGGATCTGCAGGTGGCAACTTCTTCACGACGTCCACCATCACCACCATCACCACCACCGCGTCCTCTCGCAGAGGCTCCGCGCGCCTTCTTGAAGCTGGCGCTCAGAGCCACGAGACGTCGCGCGAACCTCCACGGATCTGCGCCCCTCTCTCCTCGTGTCGACGGGAGGCTTTTCGGGCCTGGTGGTGGGCTCCACCATGAGGCTCATGGGCCGGGTCCTCCTCCTCTGCGCTGCGCCTGCACCAGCGCCATCATCCGCCGCAGCGCTGCCACGACGCAGGATCTCTGCGTCGATTTGACAGGTGAAGGACGATGCTCTGTGACGACGAATTGGCGCTGCGACATCGTCGCCACCACCACCACCGCCAGCACCACCACCACCACCAGCAGCAGCAGCAACACCGACAGCACCGACAGCGGCTGCATCAGTGGCGGGTGTCCCACAGGTGCCGTGCCTCGCGAGGTCTCCCTCTGCCCGGCTGCTTGCTCCCGATAGACAGATGCTCCGTGGACGTCGAGGCGTGGGGCTCTTCGCCGGAGGCTCGGGTATGCTGCGGAGTCCGCCGCTCGCAAGCTCCGGGTGGCTGTACAAACTCGCAGGACGCGGCCGAGGTGCTGTCTGCTGATGCTGCTGACGCCGGTCACCGCGTTGCTGCCGCTCAAAGCTACTTCTCCTCAATCTCACGTCCTGCTGCTGCTGCTGCTTGAGACCTCCTCCCATGATGGTGGTGGTGGTGGTCTCGCCCCGCGTGGCGTCTTCAAGGCCGAGGCATCTCGCGGTCACGCTGCCAGTCGACGACTCTGCCGACGAGCCCGTGTCAGACTCAGCCTTGTTCAGGAGCTCTGCTCTCATTCCTACTCCCGTTCGGATCTCCTCCTCCTGCTGCTGCTCCTCCTGCTGCTGCTGCTGCTGCTCTCCTGCTGCTGCTGCTCCACGTCTCTCTCCTGCTCCTCTTCCTCCTGCTCCACGTCTCTCTCCTGCTCCTCCTGCTGCTGATTCACGTCTCTCCTCCTCCTCCTCCTGCTGCTGCACGTCTCTCTCCTGCTCCTCTTCAACCTCCTCCCAGCCCTGCTTCTCAACCTGCCCCTCCACTTCTCCCTCCTCCACCTCCTCCTCGTCGATCTCTCGCTGCTCCTCCTCCTCTTCACCACCTCGTCCTCCGCCTCGCCACCCCGTGGGGCACCAAAATCCTCTCTCCAAGACGGACACTCCAGGTCTGCGCAAAACTGCCCGATCACTTCCGTCCACGCATTGCGGCTGTTCTGCAGAATCTCGAGCGCGAAGTTGGGACTCGCGCAGTGGACCCTCGTTCTGCTCCACCTCCTCGCCGTTCTCCCCCTCCTCTTCCTCCTCCTCCTCCTCCTCCTCCACCTCCTCCACCTCCACCTCGTCCTCCTCCTCCTGCCACCCGACCACGACGGTCTTCGCCGTGTCGCTGCGACGTTGTGCCTCCAGGTCTCGAGATGTGTCCACTCTCATCGATGTCGCGACAGCATCCGCAAGACCATCATCGATGCGAGGGCCGCGTGCGTCTCACTCTCTCACGACGTCCCCAAACTCAAGAGTTTGCTGCGCAGAAACACGTTCGCGCTTCGTGATGTTTAACTCTGCCGGGTTAACAATTCGTTTCGGATCTAGGGCCCGAATTGTTGATGACGGCCGCAAAGTTTCTCTCTATCGGGACGAACAACACGGAACTTCCGTGACGTCAAGGGCGCACGTGGGCGACTCGAGAGGGAGCGGTGCCATCCTCGCTGCGCCAGAGGTCGTCCCGCGGATGACGAGGAGGAGTTGCGCTTCAGGGTGGAGCACTTCAGGGTGGAGCACTTCAGGGTGACGCACGTACCCCTCTGTGCCCTCTTAGCGGTGTCAGACCGATGCTCACACACGGACACACGCACCCATCTGGCTCTCGGAGCTCGTGTTCACGCAGAGGGACGTTGATTCATCTTCAACGCACGACACCTTCTCACCGACAAGCCGCATTGCCCAGCTTGGTGAAGTATGGTCGAGCACCACCCCCACAACGGCGCTCATTCACCAAGCCACAAAGGTGGAGTTGCCGGACCGGACTGGGATCGTTTCCTCTGCCTTCCTCTTGGGGTCCAGTCTCTCCACCACCGACAACACCACCCTCTCAGACTAAAATAATCTAGCACAAACTATTCGTGAACTATATTAACAACATATATATATATAGAAGTCTTCTTGAGCAGTAAACAACTCCGTCGGTCTTGTGTCTTCACGCGACGGGGAAATGAAGAGGAGGAAGCCGAGACGAGTGGCTCGGCACTTACTGCGTTTGCAGAGTCATCGCCACCACCACCACCGTCGTCGTCAACATCGTCACCACCATCGTAAACATCACCACCACCGTGGCCTTCAGAGAGACGCACAAGGGAACTTCTGCGCGTAACTCATTTCATATGTCCTCGTCTGAATCATCATCAGCAGCAGCAGCAGCGTCGTCATCATCATCTTCATCATCAGCAGGACTCTCTGGTTGTCACTGGAACATCGTCACCCCTCGTCCCATCCTCGCCTGCGTCACCAGCAGCGGACGACGGCGGAAGAGCCCCCGATGAAGGTAGAGGACTTCAACGATGACGGCGATGATGATGACGACTTCACCGTTACGGTCAAGGTGGCTACGTCCCTTGACGATGTCGTGACTGTGGCACCGGCCGCGCGCGAAGAGAGATCCCAGCTGTAAGGCGCGTGTGAGTGCGCGTGTGTGTGAACGTGTGTGTGTGTGCGTGTGTGTGTGTGAACGTGTGTGTGTGTGTGGGAACGTGTGTGTGTGTACGTGTGTGTGTGTACGTGTGAGTGTGTGTGTACTTGTGAGCGTGTGTGAGCGGTGTGTGTGTGTGAACGTGTGTGTACGTGTGTGTGAACGTGTGTGTGTGTGAAACGTGTGTGTGTGCAGGCGCTCGCCAACACCAGCACTTGCCCCAACAGTCTGTGAAGGCTATCTATTATGGGGAAGCATCTCCTGTCGACGTGTACCACATCTGTAGCGATGTGGGTGTGTGTCTCTAAGCGTGTCTTAACACAGCACTTGCCCCAACAGTCCGCTAAGGCTATACGGGGGGGGGGAGGGGTGGGACCGAGGCTCTTTGTCTTTGTTAACACTGCAGCCAGGCTGCGCCAGATTTCTTTCGCAGATCTGCTGCTGATGATGAAGATGACGACGCCGCTGTGCGCGTGGTGCCGGGGTTCCTTCTCGATTGTGGCGACTGGGATCCGGGCGGGATCGAGTCTCTGGCTAAGGGCGGGGCTGTGGGCGAGGGGCGGGGCTGTGGGCGAGGGGCGGGGCTGTGGGCGAGGGGCGGGGCTGTGGGCTGAGGAGGGGTGGAGTTTGGGAGTTTGTGTGGGAGGAAGCGGTTGGGGGAGCGGTTAGCGCTACATTGCGCTACGAAACCGGCGACCCGGGTTCGATTCCCGCTCACGGCCAAACACCGCCAGTGACGATTATCTCGAAACCGGTCCTGGGGCCTCGCCTAGGTCGACTCCGCCTCAAATGAGTACCCTGGTGCGATGTGTAAACAGCGCCACTGGGGAGACAAAGGCGGTCGGGCGTGGTGCTGGCCACCCACACCCTTTGTGTGCCGTTCCGGCCTTCATAGGTGCTGCTACTCGCCAACAGCACTTGCCCCTACAGTCCGTTACAGGCTACACGGGGGATCTTTGTCTTTGTGGAGGGAGGGGGTGGAACAGAGTTGGTGAGTGGGGGCTTCATAATGATTCACCCCCCCACACACCAAAGACAAAGATTCCCCCCACACCCGTATAGCCTCTCCACTGTTGGGGGCAAGGGCTGTTAGCGAGGAGCAGCGCCACCTATGAAGGTCCAGAACACCGCGCCCGGCCGCCTTTGTCTCCCAAGTGCTGATGCTTACGTACACCCCACCACGTACTAGTTTCAAGGCCGAGTCGACCTAGGGGAGGCCCGGGTGCAGGGTTTCGGGTTATTTGTCCCCGTTGCGGGGATTAGAACTCGGGCAGCCGAACTCTGCCCGCGGGGTTCATAAGGCAGTGGGTGCGCTAACCGCTGCGCCACCGCTCTCCCACTCCACCCCTCTCACCCACCCACCCACCCCCTCTCACCCAACCCCCTTGCCACCTTCTCATCTCGCCAGCCAATTCGATGAATGATGCACACAAACAAAAACACATCCAGTGATGGTCTAGGCCACGCCGTGTCGGGCATGGAGTTGTTTCCATTTAAAGCTTCTTTCGTGACTGCAGGAATTCATATTCTTGGTTCTTTCGGTAAAGTCACGTAGAAGGGAAATAATAAAATAGTAAAAATAAAACAATACAATTCTCACGACGTTTCGGCCACAACACAAGCAGCCGTCCTCAGGTGAAAAAACAGAGCTGTTGGAAAGACAGC